AAAGAGTGTTTGTATGAGGATTGGTGCTTGTGTGTGTGACTTTCAATAACATTTTAGCGAAACGCAGCGATGTAATTATGAGAGGCGGGCATCTGAGATTCAAACTGAAATAAACTGAAAAATGGATGCCTTGAGCGTGTTAATTGCGATAGCCTTGATACATTGTTCATTATTCTTTTTTGATACGCTTTTTAAGGTAAATCGTACAATTATCTATGACGTTTTTATTTTTGCTTCATGCTGGATGCAAAAGGTCCTTTAGAACGAAATAACGTTTATAATACATCAGCTAAGTTTCTCTGAACTCAAGAAATTATTAGTTATCATTAATATCTATGTTTTCTGTCATAAAAGTCTTGTGATCATTAATCTCAATTTCATAATATAGATTATAAGTTTATCACGTTAAGGATAACTTGTGATGTTTTTCAGTCCTGTTCACATTTTCCATATCTCTACTTCCTGGAAAATACTGGTCTGGAGATACAGATATTGAGAGTGAAATGGTTTACAACTGCTTTCAATCGCAAAATAATAAAATTGGGATTGGATTGCTCCAGATTTTGGATCGCTTGGTTCAATGCCGGTGTAATTATAAGCATTATACTCTTGCCGATAGCTGTTATTATTATTTTGAAGATGACATTTAACATGTGGCTAGCTGGATCCTCGAGCGATACCGGCTCAGGAGTTATATTAGAACCCATGGTAGGATTATAAAAATAAAGATATTTAAGAAGACCAGATATTTTTAAATAATCTTTATTATATAAGAGATTTTATAGATGTAAAAGAATTGATATTTAACTAAGATCTAGTGAAATAAAGAACTAGTTTATATGCTTTAAATACACATTGTACTATAATAATACATTGGAATACGATATTAATACAATTACTCAATTCTAATATAAGTTTTAAAAACCTTTCGTTAATTTCTCTACTTTTTGTGCAATTTAATTTCATAATTTTATGTTTTAGTTACCAGGCGTGGATATTCCTTTCAATGAAATTGGCTATTATGTAACGACATTAGCAATATGTAGTATATTTCATGAACTAGGGCATGCTCTTGCTGCAGCGAGAGAGGATGTACAGTTGTTTGGTTTAGGAATTGTGATTGTTTTCACCATTCCAATAGCTTACGTGCATATAAGCAATGAACAATTAGTCGCATTGCCATTAAGAAATCAGCTACGTATTGCGTGCGCAGGAATTTGGCATAATATTATTCTTGCTACGATAGCTGCAGCAATTCTTGTTTTTTCTACATGGCTGTGGGCACCACTTTATAATATTGGTTCTGGGGTTTATGTAAAAACTATTTTACCTGTAAGTGACGAAAAAATATTTTATTAAAATATATTTCTATCTTATATATTATATTTTTTCGTTGTAGAATTCACCTGTATTAGGACCAACTGGTCTTTTGGAATATGATGTAATAAACAAATTAAATAATTGTCCTATAAAGCACAGCGAGGATTGGTACGATTGTATGCTGCAAGCAGTACAGCATTCTGCTCCTGGCTATTGTGTTAAGCAATCATTTGTTCAGGTAATTTTCTTAAGAGATATTTAGATATGTTCATGATTTCATTGTTTAGCGTCGAGTATTTGTATTATTGTCAGTTTCAATTCTTACAACTTTGTCGCATCTGTTATTTTTTAGGATTATGATGAGTCAGTGCCAGCTAAGCAGAAAACAAATGGTGCTGTGAATTGTTGTACAACTGACAGTGAAATAAACGGCAATCTGTGTTTTGAATATATTGAAGGCCCACAAACTGCTCCTCTTCACTTACCTCCGCATTCTTGCCTTCCAGTAAGGGCAATGCTTAATCAGTCACAAAATTTCTGTCAAGCTAGTCACGAGTGTTTATCTCACGATACTCATTGTATGAAACCTTCTTTAGACAATGTCACAAAGGTAGGTAGAAACAGAAAATATAACTTATCCTCTATATTAAATACTCAAAATAAAATCATTAAAATTTTATCTAAAACAATTTAAAACTGCAGATTATACAAATAAAAAGAAAAACGGGCAAGGATGTATTATTCTTTGGTCATCCAGCAGACATTTACAGGACTGTTGACGTATCGGATTGGGTGCCAAAATATTCTTTCCTGTATCCTGAATTACCCGAGTCCTTTGCGCTACTTTGCAAATATATTACAGTATTTTCAGCAGGGTTAGCAATCATTAATATTGTGCCTTGCTTCTTTCTGGATGGTCAATATATTCTGAATATAATTGTACTTTATTTATTGAACTCCATGCCACATAATAGAAATATCAGAGAAAGCACAGTACTTACAATAACAAGTATAGGTACATTACTTTTTATAACAAACTTAATGTATTTGCTTATTAATAAATTATTGTAAATTAATCATACATTCTCGTCTTCTTCATTCTTCATATGAAATCATTTAATTATAAGATAATCTTACTTAACACCTGTCCATGTATTAATAATAATAATAATGCCCTTTTTGAATTTATGTTAAAATTTACATAGAAATTTCTAACAAAACATCTTTTATATTTTAATATTAATTAAAATATTTTGATATTAAATTCTTGTACATGTAAATAAAAAATAGGTAAGTAAAAGTATTGTTATTATGTAAGTTAAGTATTGATTTCATTCAAAATTACAAAAATTATATTTTTAATATATATTACTATATAGCTGCCGGTAGTTAGATGTTTACTGGGAAAAAGTATATACCTATTTTTTTTACATTATTTTGACTTATTTGCCTTGTTATTTATCACGAAAAAGTTTGTTTTGACAATGTAAAGATTTCCCTTGTATTTATAAGATGCTAAATTTGTTATCGTTTTGCTGCTCCATCTGCATCCAATGCTAAAAAGAATATTTATATTATAAAATTTATTCTGAACAATAATGAAAACTAGTAAACAATATGATGGAAAACTATAAATTATTGCCTGTTTAATAATTAATTTGAGTTAGTGCTCCTACTTGGAGCACTTATAAAGTTAAAGTACAAGCAAAGATATGAAATACATTAGGCTATATTTTGGTTAGCATCAATACTTACTTTTTCCATCACAAGCAACAATTTTTACTTTATCTACTATTGCTACCTCCTGGACCTCACGGAATTCAACATCATTTAGCATAAAAGTCCATACATTATCACAAAATCTATATGTATTTAATTTGCCAGCCTGTAATAAGTTAATTCATTTAAATCAGACTCTTTCTGAATGTAATAATAAAGTCAAACAAAGAAAATTATACAAAATGAAGAAATTTACCTTAAACGTAAGTCTTGACTTAACTCTCGTTGCAAGAGCTTGATTAATAGCTTTGTCAAATTGTAGCAATACTTTTATTGCAAGCTGTGGCGTTATTTGTCCATACTGGAATATATATCATCTTATTATTAGATATAATACAGATGTGATTTCAGTTGCATAAAGAATACATGCATCAGAATCTATTGCAAGAGTTACTTATTACCTTTTCGATCTTATAGCATAAATGAAATTTATTATACGAGGAGCAGACTTTCAAAATGCATCTTGTCCAAAATTTCATTTTGTAAGTTGGAGATGGCATAGTGTTCAGTGTTGAAAGACTCATATTTTAAGCTACTCTATAATGTTCTGAAAGCATTTTTTCATCATCAATTTATGTGCTGAAAAAAGTCTAGACATTCGAAGTACATTATGTCCTTTAATTAGAGACAAACAAAATGCATTTGTTTAACATTTTATATCATACTGATTGGCAAATTATTATTTTCTATAAAACGCATGGTTTCCTTATGGCTTGTTTCTTTCTCATTTTCTGAAAATTATAAATTTTGGACAAAACGCATTTTGAAAGTCTGCTCCTCATATGTAAAATGATAAACTTAGCTAGTGTAAATTATGTTATCGTTCACACTTGAAACAAATTATTTTTTCTTTCTATACCGCCTAAAATGTTAAATCTAACCTATGTTTTACATCATTATGTATTCACCTGTATCAGCTCGTCAAGGCTCTCTTGCAGCGTGTTCCCTAACGTTGTGTTTCTATACAATTGATAAGACATTTTGCCTGAAATTTCTCGTAAAACGTGGAAAGTAATAACTTTGAATCACTAAGCGTGTATCATCAACAAATTGCAACAAACGACAATTTACCTTTACATACACGACATTCGATGCGGCGCTGTCGTATCGTCAATTCGTCAGTAGTGTCGGCGTTGGTCGGCGTGTCCGCGCTAGTGCTGGCTAGTGCGCTGTGCGCTCTGCACTCTGCTCAGCTCTGCTCTCAATAGGCGCGCGTTCAAGTTGTCAAAGCGGCTACCCTGCTGCCTGCTCGCCGAGCGAATGAGCATAATTGGTTGTTTCTTATAGATCCAACCAGTCATATTCAATTGCTTAATAAGCATGCCTAGCCGCTTTTGGCCGCTTTGCCGTCTTGAACTCATCCATTGGCCTTAGGTTTGTCTCGTCGCAATTTCCAATATACTCCAACATGCTCCTACCACTCCTAGCTCCTATTCACTCTATCAAGCACGTTGGAGTGAATAAGAATTATTTCGGATTTATATGCTCACTCTTTTCAGTATTCCAATGTTTCAAGCACTGCACCACGCATTGTCAATTGTCGATAACTTCGGATCGTAGGATCGCAATTGCGCCGCGAAAGAAATGCGGGGTCTACGATAAAAGTCGTAGCGGTCGCGTTGGGTCTTAAATCGTAGAAAATTGACCAATCATAGTCGATTATTCTTCTCAAATTCGACTATGGCTACGGACACATACCTATCGTATAGGCCGCGACTTAAATGCACGGTGTAAACGTAGCTAAAGACATCTATCGTATAGTTCGCAGACTAAGCGCACGGTGTAAACCAGGCTTATGATTGGTTAATTTTCTTACGACTTAAGACTCTACGACCACTACGACTTCTATTGTAGACTCCGCAAAGCTAAACGCGCCGTGACCGTTATAGCGGAGTCAAATTCGAATCGTTCGGTATTTTTCGCGATTATTACAAAATAAATCCCATAGTGAATAAAATTATCGTGAGTGTCTCAACGTTATCGTAACAATGTTCGTCTTAAAACCGTGTATACATAAATTATTATGCAATATTATGATGATTTCGACGTTTGTTAACCTGTATTCGGAATTGATCGAAATCTACATAACTCGCGCTATTATATTTTTTTTCGTCGAAATGCCACAAGAAGTGCAATTGACGCATGATAATTTTCAGATCATGTCAATATTCTTTAATTAGCTGTATAGATTACGCTTCGCTGTTATTTCAATTGTATTTTAAACTTTTCATCGCGTTGCCGTCAACAACTGAAAGTCGCGACACAAATCCTTGCATACGCTTAACGCATAATACATAGTAGGGTGCGTTCCGAATTACGCACGAAGCGCAAGATGCATCATTGTTGTTTCATCAATTACTAAGAAAAGATACAACGATACATTATACGCGCTTCATGCGTAACTCGGAACGCACCCATATAATACATAAAAAAAAAGAACTAATTAAAGTCCTTCATTTTCTTTCTTTCCATAGGTTTGTTCGCGTCGCAAACTCCAACATGCTCCTCCCATAGTTCCTACTCACTCTATCAAGCGCATTGGAGTGAGTAAGAGCTATGGTAGGAGCATATTGGAACATGTTGGAGCATGCGACGCGAACAAACCTCATGAAATAAAGGATTCTGATTGATTGATTTTCTTATGCCTGATGCATTATGCGTTATGCCGGGGAGTCTGTGTTTCAACAGACAATACTTAACAATTTAACATGTGCGGGTGTTTCGAGTGACTAAAGTTTCGAGCGATTAAGGAGAGTATGTACAGCTTGAATTTCACCGCGCAACTTCGTGTCGAGAAGCGTGCGTTTACGACGAATATTGTGAAACGAGCCATTCTTATCGATATTGCTTCGCCATCTCCCCTCTACAGCGTCCCGAATTTCCCCGACAGAGTCGAGGTAATGCCGGGTTGACGCAACGGGAGAGAATCAAATCCGTACGAAGCGGGGAGGAATGGAAGGGATGAAGAGGACCGCGGAGAAAAGGGTGAGTAAGAGCGTAGGGATAAATCTAACGAGGTAACTTGAACGTCGATTGCCCGCAATGTTTATGCTCTTCTGATTCGCGAGCGGCTGCTTTCATGGGCTTTAGACAGATAATCACGGCAGCTATCTCGATTTATGCGCTCCTAGAGAATGAACGTAGAAGGGATTACTTACAGAAATTGTTTTAATTCTTTTGTCGTAAAATTGTTCCCTGCATTTTTATTCGAATATTTAGTCGAGAGAAGTCTAAAAGTACTTTTAAATAATCTTAAAATTGTCAATATTTAAAAAATCTTGTACGTTACTTTAATTTAATGAATTTTGAATATTAACAGAATTATTAGTAATATAAAAAAATTTTAGGTAAAAAAGTTAAAAGATTCAAGCATTTTTTATTTAATATCATTAATAATTTTGATGATATTTTTATGGATTATTTCAAATGAAATATCTCGTAATAAACCGTATATGAATTATCAACTGTGTGATACAAAAATGTTAAAAGTACATATATCGCGTGCATAAAGCATATAAATCTAATCTTAATGGGCTTTCTACAATAAGCCATTAATTATAAATCAGAAGTTAGAAGCTGGAAATTGACGAATCGCAGAGAGAGTCGCCAATTTTTAGCTTCTGACTTCTAATTTATGACTAATGGCTTATTGTAGAAAGCCCATAACATTTTCTGTTAAAAATAATGTATATATGTATGTATATGTGTATGTGTAAAAGTTTAGTAACAGTAAGTAATCTTTATTTTTTTTTATTTTCATTCTTTTGTAATACATTAACCCTCGGACAGCGGACGTCGTGATACTCGCACGACGGACGTAGGGTCAAAAGTGCCCCAAGAATGCAATTGTTTTAAAACGTTTGAAAAACAATTTTTTATTATAATATGTATAAAATATGTAGAAAGAGAAATAAAAACACATATTTATCATAGAAACAAATTATCCATTTATTCATTTTCTTCGCAGTTGAAAAGATTGAAAAGAGTAAACAACTCTAATGTATATCTCGCGAGACCCTGCGTCCGCTGGCGGAAGGTTAATCATAATACAAATGTATTATACTTTATTGGCAAATTATTTTTTTCTTTGATAACACATTTAAATTTTGATATATGTATAAGAAATGTAAGTCCGAATTTTAACTTAATAAATTAATTTAATAAGATGTTATAAATGATATTTGTAATATAATAAATTAATTGATACTACATTAATAATGCAATACTAATTAAAAAAGGGGAGAGAATTATACTCTTTATTATGTTAATAATTGTAAGAGAGAGATACATGATATACTATAATAGATATTGTCGAAAGGTAAAATTAGTGAAAAGTTTTTTAGTACGTAGCATAGGAAAATTTAATTAGAATTAATCGCACGATATTTCGAGCAATTTTTAATTCGTAGCTGCGATGTAATTTTGCGTCAACACGAGTTGTGGCAGGATCGTTTCCTTCTTTTTAAAAGTTCGCACGCGCGCTGGGTGGAACGTAAATGTGAGAAGCCTTATAGCTATTTGTTCGTTTCAAATACTCGAGTAATTGCTGGCGGAAAGTTCGGTTTGCATGCAAAACTTTCCTCGGTAAAAGAGGTACAAAGCTCTCGAGCCGGAAATGAATAAGCAGCTCTCATGAACTTGGTGCACGAAAGTGTATCTGTCTCTTCGCGTACCAGGTGTTTCGCTAGATTTATTAGCATCGATCGAAGCTTTTAAACAATTTGCAAATCAAAGCTAGAATGCGTTATTTCTTCGTAAGGCTCGGTCTGGTTATTGGATTAATGGAGAATACACATAACAGAATAACTCATTTTTGCTATCAGTAGTAAAATTTTTGACGAATTTAAAACTTGGTATCGAAAATATCGGAGGTGTTGTTAATCAATGGTCAGTTACATAAAAATTTTAAAATTAAAATGCTACCTTTTAAGAACGTGCATATAGAATTTTAACAAATTTTAGCACATAGACAATTAACTAATTTAACGTAGATTAATAACAGTAAATTGTTTTTAAAAGAAACCTTGATCAAAACTAAACGGATCGAGATAAAAGCGCTGAGAAATGTGGATTGTGTTCCAAAAGAGTTAGCTATATATGTTATATACAGAAAGAAAAAGAATGGTTTGGTTTTTCATAAAGGAAAGGTTATAGCTTCATGAGTTTCTTCGTGGCGGAAAGAAAGTGAGACAAAGTTCGAAACGACGTCGCTCGTGTAGAATGTGAAGGTGCTGGCGTTATCGTAGAACGAGAATAAGAAGTTAAGAAAGAGCAGGATAAAAAGATTTTCGTAGCGGGAAGGGCGAGTGATGGGAGAACGACTATGGTCCACTGGAAGGTCCCGTTTGTGAAGGAGAAAATGCGAAGGAGGGAGGTTGACTTTTCGGTTGCCGTGCGAGCAAGATAGTCGCATCGATCGGATTCTGTGCGACGTGGGAGCGCAATGAAAGGCATCTTTAAGAGTAGTGTAGCAGAGTCTATAATAGGGGGTGAATGTGAACGCCGGCGAAAGACGGGGGGTCTCACGCGCGGGCGCAGGGTAAAATCCGTCCGCGTGACTATTTATGTAGCTCGCCTTTCAGAAACTTTGCAAGAACAATTTATTACGGATATATACGTGCCATTTTGGAGGGTCAAAACTTTATTATGACACTGAGAACTTTATCTACGACTAGGGAGAACCAGTTTCCTTTATCGATAACGGGATGGTGAGACCGGATGTAGCCTGAAGGAAACCAAAGCGGAAACACTTTCAATAACTTTTACAAATAATATGACAAACGTTTATATTGTCTTTTTATCAAAGCGATATATCGAATATGATATAAAAATATGGAGGTAACGTTAAAACATAAAACGTGATTTATCTTTATTAGATCAGCATTTTTAATGAACGGTTTTTTAATCAATAATTAGTATTGTATGACAAATATTAATATCTTCTACAATTAATGGGAATTCAGTAGCAGTAATGTCTATGTATAATAATAAAGATTTTATTGACTATTTATTAAAAAATATGATTACGTAAATATTAATATTTGAAAATGATAGAAGAAAGAGGAAGAAAGTAAATTATTCCATAATAATTTTAATTAAAGAAAAATCACTAATACATTTTTTAAGTTTTATTTAGAAGAAGAAGATTTCTTCTTTCGATTTAGAAAAAGAAGGAAAATTTTCTTTTGTTTCTTACAAAGTCAATTTTAGTACGTTGTTACATTTTGCTAGTAAGACTGGGGTATTAGGTCAATGCTTTTAGAAGTTAAACTTGGTAATCTATAAACTTAGTGATTTGATTAGGCGATAGCATGTC